AATGATAGGTATCTAAATTACTGCTTGTTTCATCTTTTTAATCCCCCACTCTCTACCTAGGATATTGAAATGGAGCACCAGTCCCACTTTGCTATTGTGAACACCAAGACAGCAGCTCCTACAGCTTGTGTGAGTTGGTGTAAAAAAAAAACACCTAAAAAAGATCCTAGGTTCGAATTTAATGAAAAGTGATACATAAATGTGACAAGTAAATTCTACTTGGCAATTTCCTGTTACTGCAAGGCACAATGTGCTATTCAAAGCAATTTCTTTCTCTCTTAGAGCCAGTGTGGTGTAGTGGTTAAGAGCGATAGACTCGTAATCTAGGGAACCGGGTTCACGTTCCCGCTCCTCCACATGCAGCTGCTGGGTGACTTTGGGCCAGTCACACTTCTCTGAAGTCTCTCAGCCCCACTCACCTCACAGAGTGTTTGTTGTGGGGGAGGAAGGGAAAGGAGAATGTTAGCCGCTTTGAGACTCCTTTGGGAAGTGATAAAGCGGGATATCAAATCCAAACTCTTCTTCTCTTCTTAGTTACTGATTTTGAGTCGAGCAGAGAAGGTCCTCGAAGAGGTGGACTGGCTGATCAATAAGATGAAGAGTCATTTGGGACTGGAGGCAGCAGGTAAGAAAAAGAACAGTAGTTCTCAAATGGTGTCCTATTGGGTTGTCTCTTGTTAAGAAGTATGAACAGCTCAGCTGACGATTCCCACTCTCATCCTTATTGTCAAGTCAAGAAAAAACAACACAGGATCATGGACAAAATGCCCTTTGGCACAGTTTTTAGGAAAAGACCCCAGAGAAACAAGTTTTCATAGGACAAAAAGCAGTCCATCTGCCCCAAATATGGTCAACTCTGTGAAATGGTTTGAATTAAGCTCAGGAACAAATTTGTTAATCAATACAGATGACAGCCACATTCTAGACCAACTGAAATTTCCAAACTGAATTCAAGGACAACACCAAGTAGAACTTGTTCCAGTAGTGACTGGGATATGATGATCAAGGCCAGCATCTCAAGGAAAAGACACAAAAATCAAAGCTGTAAGAAGTGAACTTAATTAATGCTGCTGCTATTTGACCAACCAGGAACTGGGCTTGAACTTCGAACACGTTTAAACTGTGTACCTGATTTTTAAAGGGGAGTGCACACCCATTCAAACAGGTTATGTGACTATTTCTAGATATCAAGGACCTTGTCTTTGTGGTTTTTACCAAGCTTTTTCCTTCCTTTTGTAGAAGATGCCTCTCAAGCAACAAACCCAACCCAGCCTCTGGAAAAGGCAATCATTCTTCAGCTTGGGACTTTGTTGACTGCATACCACGAGCTGGTACAAACAGCCTTGCCTCCGGGAAGCTGTGTGGACACACTGCTCAGGAGTGTCAGCAAGATGTACACCACTCTTACAAGCCTTGTAAAATATGTGAGTGCTCTTGACCCGAGGCATGAGGTTTGGGTTTGAGGGCCTGATCATCATCTTTCCCTAAGCCCAACTTAGCCTGGATGCCTAAAAACTGATGATGGGCTACTCTCAGGTAGCCAGTAGTGTATAGATCATGCAAGTTTGTTTCTAAAATGTATAACCTGCTATCTAGCCTGACTAATTCTTATGGTGCTTTACGTTGGCCTACTTGGGCAGAAAATCCCACCACTACTAACAACATCTTGACTCTTAGTAAATTGCTACCTGCCAAATTTCAGTTGCGGGGGTCACTGAAAGTATTATTTCTGCTATTGTTCTTACAAAACACAAATGCTAACAACAGGCAAAGATGCCCAGACCATTTGCATTCTGTAGCAGGGCGTTCCTGTGGCTCATATACCATGTCCTCTTGCATTGCTTTTTTTATTTAGTATCTCCAAGTGTGCCGAACCACAACATGGGCGATTCCAGGACGGCTAGAAAAGCTGGTGGGTGTTACGTGATCCTGTACAATGCCTGTTAGTAGGTGCTGAATAAACGTTTTCTGCTTTAATTCCGGAAGAAAATTCTTGGAATAAGTGGCATTATCTTCTCTAGGTTAGACTCTCTGGCTCCCACTTGACCCCCCCGTGTTATGCCTTCATCACATATGTGCAGGTAAGCCAAAAAGTTGAATTTCCCATTTCACACTCCCAATCCCAAACAGTGCATCTATTAACCTAGGGGAAAACAGCATTTACATATGCTGACGGCACAGGAGGCATCAACCTTGCTGAAGCCAAGTGGGTTTGGGTCTGGTCAGTGCCTAGATGGGACGATACCTGTGCTTGCTGCCTTGAGGTTCATTTAAAGAGACTGCTCTGTTTTGAGTTTTAGTGAAAGCTGTGATGCTGAGGAAGCTAAATTCTGTACCCAGCACAATTTCCTATGCTCTCAGCATAAATAGCCCTGCTCATAAATGCAGAGAATGTTGTTATCAGTGGCAAGACAGGAAAATGAGAATCCTAACAATAATAGAAAAGAATGGAACGTATTCTTCTGACTAGACCAAGTCGTGTTTTAAATCTGGGAGGTACTGATATGGTGAATTTTGGCACTATCCTACTCTTACTCTGCGTTCTGTGCAGCAAAAAGCTGCAGACTACAGAACTGCCCTGCCCTTATTTAACGAAGGTGTGGTATGGATGAGGGGCTCAGTATTTCCCGCAAAGATTGATTACGAATGACTTCTTCAGAGTGAGGATTATGGAAAGGTCAATGGGAAGATCAGAACTGGAGTAGCAAGAAGGGAGAGGGGGATAGGTCTGGATTAAACCCAAATATAAATTCAGCAATGAGCATTCCCTGTAAAAGGGGCTTTCTCTTTTGATGGATTGTTCCAACGTTTTATACCACCTTGTTAACCCTATAATACAGAGACTCAATCCCCTATCTTTACATGTCAAGCAACTTCTCCTTTCAGAATATCCAGAGTGAAACCTTGAGCATGGCAGGAGAAAAGAAAAAGAAGAAAAAGGACAAGACAACAGCTGAGGTGTCCACCGTCATGGTGAGGATGGTTATTTCTGCCCAGAAATACACTGGACCCTTAGTTATTTAATTGAGTTTCAATGGGATGTACTTAAAGCCTTAAGTCTCTGCTCCTTCAGTAGCAGAGGATGGCAGCATAAACTACAACTGAATACTTACAGGTGCAATTTGAATTGTGGAAGACAGATAAACTTGCACAAAGCCTTGAATAGCTATGTTTTCCAAGTAAGTTTTGTCGCTCAGAGGTCTAATCAAATTCAGAGCATCTATATCTTCCTAGGATTTGGTTACCTAATCATGTGGATAATACTCACCCTGAAATGATATTAAAAATATTTCAATTATAGCTATTTACTGTGAGATCCTGTAACTGTGCTGCCACTGTATTTAATACACTTCAATGTTTTCCTTCCATCTGTAGGCCAAAGTGTTGCGGGAATCCAAGCCAATTCCTAACTTGATTTTTGCCATAGAACAATATGAGAATTTTCTGATCCATCTCTCAAAAAAGTCAAAGGTAACATTCTAGTCTAAGAATGTAGCTGCAACTTTTGGACACACCTTGGCAACTTCTTAGGATAGCTCAGCTGGTAGAACATTAGACTCTTAATCTTAAGGTCATGGGGCCACACTGGGCCAAAAGATTCCTGAATTGCAGGTGGTTGGACTAGATGCCCCCCCCCCCCCCCGTGGTCCCTTCCAACTCTGATTACATGAAAATTAACAGGAAATTGAATTATTATTTATATTGACACTTTAAAAGCTAAGAAATTCAAATGAAGGACTGTCCCTGCTGAATAGATTACTCATTTATCAGATACATTTTGTATATGTGATTGGTAATCTTTATCAAATACTTTGGTGTAATGAGTCACGTCTGTTAGAACCCAAGATGAAACCCAGAAAAGCCTGTGTCTACAGTTTGCAAGGAATACAGACAAAAAGATTATTATTACATTACTAATTATTACAAACATTACTGTAATCTTTTCTGTAAATAATTAAATTCCTTCTGTGCTTCAAAGTGCTGTTCATCAGGGATATAGATCTTAGAATAAGGGACACCTGCTCCTTTATGTATCTAATATTTATTATATTGATTTGGTATGGTCTGAGTCACTTTTGGCACAAAAAAGTACATGTTTTCACTAGCATTTTGAGCCTTGACAACTGTGGTTTTACTACTGATATCTTACTATTTGTGTTCTGTAATTTTCAGTATGTAAATGGCTTTGAGGTAACTTGTGATGAAAAGTTGTGGATAAACTTGTTTGCTTCTACATTTAAGTTTTCATAAGCTATGCCTATAGGTGGTGCAAGCTTTCACTCTGACTACCCCTTGGGCTGCTTGCTGCAGGTCAACCTGATGCAATATATGAAACTGAGCACCTCCAGGGACTTCCGTATCAATGTGTCTACTTTGGAGAACGCTCTACAGGAACAAAATGCTGAAGACAGGGAGAACGAGCCAGCCAACGACCAGGTCAGCAGTAGACGTTCTAAAAAGATGCAATCTATTTTCTGCCAGTATAAATGTAAATCTGTACTTCCAAAGTGCCTTCTATGAAATTCATATGAAGCTTAGTCAGTTGTATGCTAATGGTAAATACCCATTTCTGTACAATGGCAACTTGTTTTGAAGTGTGGGGAATACTCCTCTGCATCATCCTGACTACTCAATTTCACCACTGAGTCTCAGCAGCCTCTGTGGGGGTGAGGAAGATACACGAATGCTAATGAGATGACAAAAATGAAGAACATGACACTTTTCTAGCAGAAGTTAATTTTCAGAGGTGTTTTTCAGAGTAAAAATTGATTTAAACATCAGGTTTTAAAATTGTGTTTCAGTAACTCAGGACTCCTCTGGCGCATTTACTAATAGCTTGTTTTCATGTCTTTTAGAGCACTGCACCTTCCCAATCCAACACCAGCCAGGAACCCAAAACTAAGAGGCGACGTAAAAAATAAGAGCTGCTCGTTCCCAAGTGACTACTGCAGCTTGGTTCTGCTTGCCCTGCGAAGCATTGATGGAGAAAGATGAATGTCTCATTTTTAAGATGGGCTTTAATTGGGTTTCTGCTTGCCATACGAATGACATGCAATTCTCTGAATGCTTGTACCACAACAGGCTACTGAATAACCATCCTGGCACAGCCCAGTTAAAGTGCAATCTGTCCTTCTGGATGTTCTGTCAGTGATTCACCTTTGCAGCTGTAGCCTGTTTTAATGATAGCCCTGAAGTCTTCTCCCTCTTCTCAGTGAAAAAAAGCGCAAATCACAGGGAGTGGGCAGGTCTCCTTGCTTAAGCTGCTTCTGGGAGGATTCACTGAGCTGGTAGGTTTCCCATCAGTTGAAGTCTTGCACCCTATTTTTGTTTCTGCAATGACCCTTTGGTTATTTTGAGAAGTTGATATATATCAAGAGCATCACCTGAAAGAAATTAAATAAGTCATGTTTACACCCCCCCAGCCACATAACAGATACTGAAAACCACTTTTGAGATCTACTTGTTGATCTTGAAATAGCTAGCAAGCTGGGAAGGGAATAGAACAAGTAATCAACACCACTGTTTATTCCAAAACTACTGATATTACAAGAGAATGGTGGAGAATATTCCCAAATCTAGGACTGACTGCCATTTTTCTAAAATGCATTTTCCCTAAAAGATTTGCTTTAAAGGATTCCTGCCAGAGCTTAATTTAATAAAATACATAAACCCTTCTCCTGCAGTGGTGTCTTCTCAAGCTGTCATAGTTGGAACAAAATTGCCATTGCAGCTCAATAATTAACAAGCTTTAGTTATAAGTTGTTTAAACACTCATTAATTCACGCCAATTAAAAAGTGATTATGTCAAGTGCTGAGCATAATTACTACTTGTGAGAAAAGATTTCATCTTGAAGTGTTTGTAAGCACTCTGTTATTTACCCTGTACCTTTGCACTATTTCCAGTCAGTGGCTGGATAACAAGCCTAGAGCTGATGGAGTGAGAACAAGCAATATGGGAAAGCCAGATGTTGCAGAACGGCTTCCCTATGCAAATGTACCAAAGCATAATAAAATGTTACATTGGGCAAAGAAACAAAGACTGACTGGGACATCCCACAGCTATTGTGAAGATGGACTCTTTCCTTTCTGTGGGAAACTAAGGCTGCTGTGCATACTTACCGAAGTATAAGTGTCAGTGAATTGAGTGAGGTTTTCTGCTGGGTAATAGGGCTGCTTTTCTACATGCACAACAATGTAAGGTATTATCATACTCAGTTCTTGTAGCAGCAACACAAACAACATGACAACAGGCAGGTGAGGTGAGTGAGCAGGCAGGTGGCCCAGGAAGGCCTTCCCATGTTCCCTGTGTCACCGCTGCCTACTTGCATGTGCACACACACAACAAAGAAGCCCGAGATCCAAATGAGTGAGTGGCTTGGCTGAAGGAAGGCTGCTTGTCATTAAGGGAATGAGCCTTGCAACAGTGATGGTGCTTGTGTAAACAAGAGGGGTAGCAGAGCAACACAAGCAGGAGTGGCAGCCCCAGTGCTACAGAAGCAGATAGGGATCTATTTGGTCACTCTTTTCTTCCTATGGCAAAGGGAACATGCAAGTGCAAGCCTGGCTCCTGGACTTACTCAGAGGACAAATTCTGGAGAAAGATCCAAGCAGAGCCTTGTTGAACTGGAAGGCTTTAAAAGGACATATTTACAAGTTCTTGGCCGAAACCATACACTGGGGATGGTCTAGTTAGCACATAAAACCATGGCTTAGTGCAAATGAACAGTCATGGGTTCCCAAAGTGCAGATCATGGCTGTTGTGCTCATGCCAGTCTTGCTGCTGTGCTTCCCGTATTGCATCTGAAGCCAGTCTTGTGGTTTGCCTCATTCTAGACAAACTGGTTCATCCAGAACAAAAAAATTCCTTCCAGTAGCACCTTAAAGACCAACTAAGTTAGTTCTTGGTATGAGCTTTATGAGATTTATGTCCGTTTATTCTTTGGCGTAAGGTTTGGCCTGTTTGTCCAATATAGAGAGCTGAAGGACACTGTTGGCATTTGATGGCATACACAATGTTAGACAATGAGCAATTAAATTGTCCCGAGATGGTATGTGTGATGTTGTTGGGGCCAGTAATGGTGTTGTCCGGGTGTATGTGGCAGCAAAGTTGGCATCTGGGTTTATTGCATAAACCCAGATGCCAACTTTTATAAATCCTTCAGCTCTCTATATTGGACAAACAGGCCAAACCTTACGCCAAAGAATAAACGGACATAAATCTGACATCAAGAATCACAAGACAGAGAAACCAGTAGGAGAACATCAAATGCCAACAGTGTCCTTCAGCTCTCTATATTGGACAAACAGGCCAAACCTTACGCCAAAGAATAAACGGACATAAATCTGACATCAAGAATCACAAGACGGAGAAACCAGTAGGAGAACACTTCAATCTCCCAGGACATTCTATACAAAATCTCAAAGTAGCTGTTTTACTACAAAGGAATTTCAGAAATAGACTGGAAAGAGAAGCTGCTGAATTGCAACTGTCAGGGGTTCAGGGACAGAGGCACAGGTGAGGGAGGAGATGGAGAGCGAGGGGGAAGAATCCCAGGGCAGCGAGGAAGAGGGTGACAATGACTTGAGGGATTCCATGAGTCTTTCAAGTGAATCGGAGGATTCCCAGAAGGGGGCGCCTGTGGTCAGGCCAAGGGGAGTCACAGGGGGACTCGTCAGGAGCAGTGGACCAGCGGGGGAACCCAGAGTGGGAGCTGGGAGTCGGGACCGGCTTCTCTGCCAGCGCGCAGTGAAGGGGGTGGAGATTCCAGAGTGACAGGGGAAGCAGGTCCAAAAGCAGAGAGGGAGGGGAGATCGGAGCAAGACATCCTCCCGGAAGGGGAGGGGAGTAGTGCAGGGAGTAGTGTAACTGTCAAGAGGAAGGTTAGAGGCTGCGAACGCGCGCCAAGTTCAAATGTGGAGGCGCGCGGAAGTACAGGGAGCCCGGAGGAGGAGCCAGGTCCCAAAGCACGCAGGAGGGGGGAAGAGCTGTCTGGGGATTCCGCGTCAGGGGAATCCAGGAGGGGCGAAACCCCAGGGGGCAGGAAGACCCTGCGGAAAAGGAAAGAAAGGAAGAGGTGGAGCAGCTCAGCCCTCTTAAACTGGTGCAGAGGAGGGACTGACTCAGAGGGGACTTCAGCGGTCTAAGCGTAACAGACGTGGGGCTGCGCGCCTCGGCTGTGGAGCATACAATACACTTCAATAAACGTCTTTGTATATAAACTGGACTTGGCGTTGGTCTCTTGTGAGCTGGGACCTGAGGCAGCCCTGACAGCAACTCATTACCAAACTTAAAACCATGGAGAGACCTGGTCTGAACAAAGACATTGGATTCTTATCTCATTATACATGACAAAGCAATTTTTCACCTTCTCACCCCTTGCTTTTTCCTGTAAGACCTATTGCAGTCGTTAAGAGTCGTCAACAGGCTCATCACAGCTATCTGCCAATCACCCATTCCCACCACCCTTCTGAGTAATACCCCTCCCCACCTTCTCACTATATAGAAGGATCTGGCAACTTCTGTTTCAGTGTATCTGAAGAAGTGTGCATGCACACGAAAGCTCATACCAAGAACTAACTTAGTTGGTCTTTAAGGTGCTACTGGAAGGAATTTTTTTGTTTTGACTATGGCAGACCAACACGGCTACCTATCTGTAACTGGTTCATCCAGAATAAGAGACAAGCTACCCTTTGCTGGGAAGTAGCACAGCAACTATGATCTTCATTCCAGGAACTCACTCACTGGTGCTGAACCATGGTTTGGCTTAGTGTTATATGCAAAGTGGATTAATATATATGGCGCTCCTGGTTTATATGGCTATTCCAATGAGTAGACATAAATTATAATCATTCAGTAGTAGCACAACAGGATTCAGATAATATTTCTGTGAGAAAAGGAGGTGCTAGCTTCTCTAGAATTAAGAAAGTGGCACAATACTCACCCTGGGGAATATTGTATCTTCTTTCCATCCCTGTTGGGTTAGATGGAGTGACACAATCCATCGTCACCTCTTTCCTTAAGCACCGATCAATGTCCACAGCACTGAAGAAGGCCACTGACTGAGGCAGATCTTGAATACCCAGTTTATAGGAAAACATGCACCTGAAAATACAAGCAATGCAAGTAGTACAGATTTAGGAAATTCTTCTGAAAGGTGTCAGCTTTCAGTTAACACATCAACTACAGGCCCAAATCCTCACATGCTTTTACAATTCTTTTTCTTTTTTAAAGACAAACAAACCCAAACTCATCTGAGTGCAGTAGTGCTCTCTCTACTTGTGATTGCCAGCAGCTGATATTCAGAGGCATAATGCCAGCGACAGTCAGGGCTTTTCCCCCAGCCAGAACTCACAGGGACATGTGGCAAGGAGAGCAATGACACACCAGTGGAGGATAGTCTATAAAAGCTGGTCATGTGGTTCCTCACATCTCCCAGGTGGAAACAGGGCTTAATACATAATGGGATGGACACCTCGTTCACTCAACCCAGAAAAAGTATTTATTGCAAGGATTTGGAGAGTCCCACAACCCCAAATTTGATACTATGTATTCTTTATGTAGTTGCTTTCCCAAGTGCTTCATACATTTGCTCTCAGCCATGGAAGGTAGGCTAGTATTTTAAGAAATCTGTCAGGCAATCCCTTATTTTCCAGCTGAACAGATATCCTGAACATTGGCCTGTGGAATGCCATGACAAAAATGGTGTTTACCGTGTAAGGAGGTTCGTGATCTGCAGGGCGAGAGCTGCCCGGTAGCGATCCTCACTTTGCACCAGGTATCGCACTTCGTCATGGATGCTGATACAGAACCGCCCATCAATGTTGAACTCCTCAAGGAGCCATCTCATTGACACAAGCATCAGGTGCAGGTAATCTACAGCCGAGCTCTGGACCACCCAGTTTATTCTGCTGGTTATAAACTGGAAGAGAGAGATACTGTTTTCTATTGTAAACCTCTTGCTTTTCTTGTTGGCTGCCTGCATCTTGAAAAGCATGACCAGCATATCAATGTACACAACCACTGAAAACTATTGAGCCCTGACCTTTACTGCACAATATATGAATTTGCCAAACACATTTTTAAGGTGGTTTGGAGCTTGCACTGCTCATAGAGATACTATGAAAGCACTTGGCATGGAAAAGACAACTTGTTGCAAACACTTGAGCCACAACATAACTTGCTATACTATCCACAGTTAACCAAAAAGCACAACCACCTTGCAAATACAGTGGTACCTCGAGTTACAAACACCTCAGGTTATAAACGCTTCAGGTTACAAATTCCGCTAATCTGGAAGAGTTACCTCGAGTTGAGAACTTTGCCCCAGGATGAGAACGGAAATCGTGTGCCAGCGGCGCAGTGGCAGCAAGAGGCCCCATTAGCGAAAGCACGCCTCTGGTTAAGAACAGTTTCAGGTTAAGAACGGATCTCCGGAACGAATGAAGTTCGTAACTAGAGGTACCACTGTAACTTTTAAGACTTACAATACTAGGTGCACAATTTCTACTATCCAACCTCCTGCAAATATGTGTTGCTTTTTTGTTGTTGTTATGTAATAAATTACTAACCCTTGTAGATCTCCCCTGCCTGGTTGTCTAGTGGTGATTTTTACTCACTGCAGGCAGTGAAATCCCGCATTACAGCTCTTGCTCTTCTTGGGAAGGCTGCCAGAATCATTCTCAGCCTTTCTCCACAATCATAGACCTGGAAAGGAATGCACCCCACCCCCCGCCTTCAGCATGCACAATCACATGTACATGAATATTGGCGTGCCCTGTGTGGCATGAAGCACACCATGGAAAAATGCCCAACAGCAAGAGTTTTAGCTGCATGCTCTGCTTCATACAGGCAGCTGGAGAATTTAAATGAAATACTGTTGCTACATGTTGCTGGTCATTGGCTAGATCCATCTTCCCTTTCCCATTCTCCTAATACCACCTTTCCAGTGAAAACCCTTGCAATGCAAGCTGGGCAAATTACTGCTGCCACCAAAAGACACTGTAATGAAGCAAGGGCTGGAATTCAGAGTCAAGAGGTCAGAGTCAAGAGGGTTCCCTCTCACCTCGCCCTTGACAGCAGCTGGCTCCAATGCTCTGCTGATGTGGCAGCCCAGCACAGGGGTGCGAGGAGATTCTGACATGGCAATGCTTTCCAGTTTATTGAACATTTCAGATTCTGTCCCACTAGCCCACACTCGTCGGTTCACCACATCCCACTTTTTCCTTCGAGACCTGCAATAAGAAGAACGTTAAGAGCTGAACAAGCCATTCAGCAACAGACTTCTGTTTAGGGATCTGTCAAGGTGCAGGTAGCAGGGTGCATGGATTGTGCTTACTCCGTCACCAGCTACCCGCCTCCTGACATTTTTCTCTGCAGCATGGAAAATGCAGCTGGAACTCCAGCCCACCTATTTCTTCTCCATTAGACATCTCTTTCTCCCACCCACATTGCAGAAGTTTTGTAGAAGCCTCTACTTGTAGGCCTCACAAATTAAAGCCACCACCCAAAATATAAACCCTGGGTCCCGTACCACTAAGTGCTTAGAGTGGAGAAAGAAAAATTCAAGTTAATCAAAAGCAAGGCATTAAAGCCCAGTGATAGAGTTGCTCAGATAAATGCCTTGTCTCGAGCAGGCAAGGGGTGGGGCGGGGGAAGGACTCCTCCCTATGGATGCTTCAAGCTTGCCTAATTTGCACAAATTATGCCTTGACCATGAATGTGAACAGATAATCTGTTTTGGGTTACTCTCCTTTAGAAAGAGAGAATGTCAAAAGTTATCTCTAAAAGTTCACCATCTTCTGGAGAAAAGCCCATGGCTGTTCACAACCCACTTATGTTCTGGTATCTCATAAACCTGCAAAGCACCAGAGACTTTTCTGAAATCCAAAGGTGGACTGAATAGCTACAGCACATATGCCACCCCGCCACGGGGGCAGGCGGGGGGGGCAGGCGGGGAGGACATTATGTGGTGATAGGAGGGATTGGCTTCAGCTTCTCAAGGATTTCCATTTTCCAAAACACATTTGTGACCCTTTGGCTAAGAGTGCTTGGTGATACTCGGAAGCCACAAGGAAGGCTAAATAATTTTTCCAGTGGCCAGGCTTCAGTGGCCTACATAACCTTTTGCCTTTGTCTGTGACCAGCAGGAGAAGGAACTGAGTAAAATGGAGCAGATGCATGCATGTAGATTTTTGTGGTATGGAGTTTAGATGACCATGGCACAGAATTTTGATTTTTTAAAAAGTTTTATTTTACTTTAGTGCCAACAGCCCTGGCTTTAGCTCAAGCATAACCATCCAGTAGAAGACACCTTACCATTTTCCTGCTTCTCTCTTTATCTTCCGAACATCTTCCAGGGACACAGAACCATCCTCTTCCCTTTCTACAGGGATGCCAAGCTCCTTCACCAGCCATTCCCCTTCCTCGGACAGATAGCAGCTGTAAGAGGAGAATGGAATAAGAAACCACAGGAGTTGGGAGGGACCCAAAACTGCCAACACAAAACCCCCCTCAAAGTCCAAATTAAGTAGGACCTTCAGCATGGCAGTTCAGGCAATAGTTCCAAGTTGGAGCCAAACAGGAACTGAGAGTGATAGCCTTGGGGGTAAACTGTTTAGAGCTAAGTCACATGATCTGGGAAAGAAACATCCCCACTCTCCTCACACAATATCCTCTTTATCGTCCTGAAAAAGGTGGTGTCATTAGCAAACTTGGCCTCCCCACTGCTTACTTCTAATTCCAGATCATTTATGAACAAAAGCACAGGTCCCAGTACCAATTCTTGGGGGGACTCCACTTTCTACATCTCTCCATTCTGAGAACTGTCTATTTATTCCCAAGCTCTGCTTCTTATTCTTTAACCAGTGACTGATCCATAAGAGGACCTGTCCTCTTATCCCATGACTGCTACGCTTACTCAGAAGTTTGGTGTGGTACTGCACCAAAAGCTGATTGAAAGTCCAAGTATCCATTGTCTAATTGACCATCTCTATGTTCACTGACATTCTCAAAGACAAGGGAAATACTAATGAGACTGGACTGACCCTAAGGCACCACCAGAGAAGAGCCATTTCCCCCAGGGAGATGGAATGGTTCTTTCCAGATATAAAAACTGCAGGCAGTAGTATTTTTAATCATTTTTTGTTGTTTAAAAAATACACTGCCCAATTAAAAGGAGTTGTTTTAATTAATCAAAGGTTTTTTAAAATCAAGGTTGCAGCAATTACTACAGAGCACGAACATGATACTATCTAACTGATTAATCAGAGGTGGGCTCTTCCCCAAGCGTGCCTTACCGCCGAATTCCTTTCGTAGCAACATACAACTGGCGAGCCTTTTCACTGGCCTGTTGCTGTGTCAGGCGATGGTTGAACTGCATGAGGAGGCGCTCTGCAAAGGGCTGCCCTGCCCCATAGATGCGCCCATAGTTGAACACTTTGGCATGTTCTCGGCTGATCCCCACTGTGGAGGCCGTCTTGCTGTGCAAGTCTGTGGCATTGCTCTTCTTCCCCTGAAGGGTCATCCAGCCAAAAGCCGTGCTGCCTTTGGTGGGGAAAGAAGGGGTTAGCGTGGTCTTGAAGAGGGTGTGACAAAAGAGACCCTGGAGTGAAACGGGGCCAGGTGTATCTCCGTAATTCTGTACAGGAACAAAATATGGCACTGGATACAAAATGGACCTCAGAACCTCAGGTGTCAATTAAAAACAAGTTTGTAGTCCTTACGGTTGCCTAGATACCTTAATGCACACTGTAGGACAAGGGTACTTAAGCCCTGGGGGATGCCCCACTGTTGCTCCAACTGTTCAGCCAGGGCACAAGCTTGGAAAAAATGCCAGCTACGTAGCTGCCAGAAGTGTGTGCGCATGTGTATTCTATGCACCTTAGGAGCTCCTGTAAGTGTCTGCTTTTGTCAATAAAGAATTAAACTGCCAGCCATTTGTCCTCCTTGGCTGAGTGAGCTCAGGACACAAATATATGGAAGTCTCTAGACCCCTATAAATTATTTTAAAGAGATATGTTGGTCTGAAGAAGGCGAAAAGTGGAATTTCTAATATGCAGTTTCCGTGCTCACTGTACTGTAAAAATTTACAATAAAAAACTGTATTTCAAAAACAGCATTAGCTATGATAGCTGAACAGAGCTTTCACATTCCCAGGCAGTAAGTATACCCCTGACTATCAGCTGCTGAAGGAACAGACAGGGAAGGGCCGTTGTGAGTGGAAATGCTCACCATGCATGCCAGCAAAATGAGCTTCTCCCAAGACAGCTGCTATCCAAAGTTCCTGGGAATCCACATCAGCTCCAACCAGATGGTAGCCAGAAGGGGCCTGGACCATAGCTTTCAACTCACTGCCCACCCGGTCAGTCTGCAAGACACAGAGAACATAAGAAGATTCCTGCTAGATCAAACCAAAGACCCTAGTCCATCACTGTGTTCACACAGTGGCTAAACAGGCCCAGAGTGCAATAGCACTCTCCTGCTCATGGATATATTATTACAGAATCTTCTACTTACAGCAGTGATAGCCTGAGCTCGTAATTGGAAATCAATGCTCCAAAAATCGAAATAGCTAATGAACTAATTGGACTTTGCAGTAATGAATAAACGAACCGATAAATTATGTTTGCCAGAATGGCTTCTCTATTCCTGTAAATTAGTCAAAGGTGTCTTATTTCTTATAGACTGGAATTCTCATTATGGATAAGAAAAGCAGGATGGACATATCTTTGGGCAACTGTATTTCAGTTTTCTCTCTCTCAGCAAGCATAAAAAGCATTAGAAAATCCATACATACTCTGGCATTACTGGCTGTCAACCAGGTGGGCTCCACAGCTCGACGAGTTATTGTCCCAGCAGTTACCACCTGTGGCAGGATGGCTCCATAGCTATTCTCCTCGTCATAGTCTGGGTGCCTACAGAAACATCAAGGTGAGCCCATTTCATATAACATGAGGAAGCCAGCCTTGCTAGTGATCAAGTAGCTACTTGACAGGAACAGCTAAGACTGCAGGTAAACCGACACATCCTACAGAGGCGAAGGGTTTTAAAAGATTTTGCTGGAGTAGCTGGTCAGCAACTGTTCGTGAACATTCATCACTCTTAACTGGCTGTTACTCCTCAGGTAATATACATCTCTGACATTTGCTTGAAACCCAATAACCTGGTGGAGATTCTTGAGAGAAGGCAGAACTTATTCCAAGTCATACTACTAGCCCGTCTAGACTTATGGAATAAGTGGCATGCAAATCTGGTTAAATAAACCAGACTCAGCACGCAAGTCGTTTGTGAGCCAGAAGTAGAAATGCATCCTGCAATTACTCCAGTATCTGGGATAAGGCCCCCCCCCATAGCAAAGACATGGATGGCCATCTGTCAGGGATTCTTTAACTGTGGTTCCTGCATTGCAGGGGGCTGAACTAGATTGCCCTTGTGGTCCCTTCCAACCCTACCATTCTATGATTCTTTGAATATCAGCTGCTCTCCCAAAACAGAATCCTTTTACTTTCACAGCCCAGATAATTCACAGCTTGGCTACACGTTACACTTGCCACGGGAGAGCAGCCTGAACATGCAGAAACTCTGTCTGCTGAGAGCTCAAAAGATTCTCCAGCAACAGGCAGCAAAAGCTGGAGGTGACACAAATCAGATAGCAAAACAGGGCTGCTATTTTTCCGAAGGAGCTGGAAAAGGGAAAACTGAGAGGTAGTACAACAGAAATCAACAAAAACACTGCTTCTGAGAGAAGCCAGCTTTGCAACTTGCTAGTCTGATTTGTAAGACTGAGGATCTTTGAAGAAAGAGCAGAAAAACAGAAAATTTTGGAACCTAGACACACCACCTCCTCCCAGAGATCAGAAGAGACTTGTGAATGCATCCCTAATTATATTGTATTATTATTATCAACATCATTATTTTAGTTGTAAGTCACTTTGGTAACTAAATTTGGCTAAAAAGTGGAGAAGAAATAAAAGGAAACAAATGACCTTGAGAACATCTCTGTATGTGTACCTGGTCACAGATCGAGGCAGCTCCCCTTTCTTCAACCACACCACCATCTGGGAACTGACAAAACAAAAGGGAAACAAACTTCAGAAAGCAAACAGCAGAAGCTAAAGAAGTAATGTCTTGCATTGGTCCTTGTCTTCTTGCCTGAGCACACCAAGTCTCAAGCCCTTAGCAGGCCATGAAAGGAAGAATTGAGCTGAGCTAGCATTTTATCCAGGGCTCAACAAGCCCAGTAATAAGACTGAACTATACCAAGCAGCCCCCCCCCAAAAAAAACTACCTTCACTGAGCTCTTAGCAAATTGAAGATGACTCAGGGGAGGGGCTCCTCTCATGTTGCAAAGATTAAAGGTTGGAGTAAAGTATACAAACTGAATGCTTCATGGCACAAGAAGCACATTTACCTTGGTACTGAAAACAGAACTTGAATTACCACCATACAGCATGGGAGCGGGGAGTAAAGTGTCATGTGGTTCTGCAGACTGGTAATTTAATTCAAAGGAAGTCACCCCTCACCTGATTCTTTTGTGAGCATTTCTCCAAAAGGAGATCTTCTTGTTGATTTCAAGAGCTTGTGTCCCTTCTGTGGCCCCTATGCCAGCTTTCAGGGTGCCATCCTCCATTTTGGGCAAGAAATCCTTAGCAAATGGGCTTCCAACGTTGTTGTCATTCCCATCCTTTAACAGGAGGAGATGGAAGTTTGCTTTAGCTCAAGGTATTGGTTATAAAACGGGATTAGCCAGCATAAAACCCTCCTCCCTACAACATATGAAGTTGCCTTACAGAAACCCTTAACGGTCCAGTCCAGCAGCTTCTATTCTGACCAGCAGCGACTCTGACAACTAGATTATGGCCTCCTTAACACTTGTGAAATGTTAAAGAAGCAATGCCTTGGAGCATGGGTAGGATGTATTTCCTTCCCCAAGGAACAATCCTTAACACCACTCAGAACATCTGGCAATAGGGATAAAGACTTCTAGGTCACAAACTGCATTTTCCAGGCTGATTTGAACACTTGGCACCTCTTGCACATACTTTGTTCTATTCAGGAAAGAAATATTACATTTCCAACAGTGTCAGGGCTGCCTCAGGTCCCAGCTCACAAGAGACCAACGCCAAGTCCAGTTTATATACAAAAATGTTTATTGAAGTCCATTGTACGCTCCACAGCCGAGGCGCGCAGCCCTACGTCTGTTACGCTTAGACCGCTGAAGTCCCCTCTGAGTCAGTCCCTCCTCTGCACCAGTTTAAGAGGGCTGTGCTGCTCCACCTCTTCCTTTCTTTCCTTTTCCGCAGGGTCTTCCTGCCCCCTGGGGTTTCACCCCTCCTGGATTCCCCTGACGCGGAATCCCCAGACAGCTCTTCCCCCCTCCTGTGTGCTTTGGGACCTGGCTCCTCCCCCGGGCTCCCTGCACCTCCGCGCGCCTCCACATTTGAACTTGGCGCGCGTTCGCAACCTCTGACCTTCCTCTTGACAGTTACACTACTCCCTGCACTAGTCCCCTCCCTTTCCGGGAGGATGTCTTGCTCCGATCCTCCCTCCTTCTCTGCTTTCGGACCTGCTTCCCTTGTCACACTGGAATCTCCACCCCCTTCACTGCGCTCTGGCGGAGAAGCCGGTCCCGACTCCCAGCTCCCACTTTGGGTTCCCCTGCTGGTCCCCTGCTCCTGACGGGTCCCCCCTGTGACTCCCCTTGGCCTGACCACAGGCGCCCCCTTCTGGGAATCCTCCGATTCACTTGAAAGACTGATGGAATCCCTCAAGTCATTGTCATCCTCTTCCACGTTGTCCTGGGATTCTTCCCCCTCGCTCTCCGTCTCCTCCCTCACCTGTGCCTCTGTCCCTGAACCCCTGACATCCAGAATTTAATAAGAGGCTTCATTTCAGTGGTAAAGGTGCATAGCCTTGAGAGGTCTATAAAACCATAACTACACTCTTATCCCCCCCCACAAGGATATTAGAAAAAAGAAAAATAATCAAGTGGAAAAAAATTAGTGTATACTCAAGGGGGTGGGGGAATGTTCCCTGTGTGGTGTTTAACATCTTCCATATATCACAGACACTTTCTTGCATATACAGTGGTGCCCCGCAAGACGAATGCCTCGCAAGACGGAAAACCCGCTAGACGAAAGGGTTTTCCGTTTTTGAGTTGCTTCGCAAGACGAATTTCCCTATGGGCTTGCTTCGCAAGACGAAACGTCTTGCTAGTCTTGCGATTTCCCCCCCCCGCTTCCCCCCCTTTTTCTAAGCTGCTAAGCCGCTAATAGCCTTTTAGCAGCTAAGCCGCTAAGCCTTTCATAGCCGCTAAGCCTCTAAACGCGCTAAACCGCTAATAGGGTTGCTTCGCAAGACGAAAAAACTGCTAGACGAAGAGAATCGCGGAACGGATTCTTTTCGTCTTGCGAGGCACCACTGTATACTTTAATGCATTTCTGATTTTAAAGTTCAATTAACTGAACTTGAGAAAATTATCAATTTATTTCTATATACAAGAAATTCCTGCTCACCTTGTGAGGTAGCCTGAAAAACCAGCACCCAGGGATATTGACCTCATTGTAAGGACCATTGCCATGGTGATAATCACTCTTTGAATGGTCCAGCTCATCCTGTTGGCAAACCAATGTAGGGTTAGTTGGACCTGAATGTACAAGGATGTACATGAAAACAAAATAGACAACTCAAGATGTAGGAATGCCCCACCTCATAGAGGCAAAGCAAAAAGTTTTAGAGAAGCATTCTTGATTAGATATCTGAATGATGTTTTTACCATCCATGCCAGCAGGGCCTCAACCACCTCTGTCATATTTAAGAGGAACAGTCACCAAAAAGTTGGGAAAATAGATCCCTCTCAATCTTTCTAGGAACTCTTGATGTTGCTCTCAAAATTCTGCAATGCTTGATGCCACCGATTTACTATGGTTCCTCCCCTCCCATTATACCTAAGATCAGGGTTGCTGGAGTAGACAAAGGGTTTGGGGCATTTGGGAACGCTCTTCCTACTACCTCCCCAATCAGATGAGCCCCTCATTCAGGCTTTTGCCCAGCACTCCCAAGATCCACTACTAAAAGCACATAGGTTTAGGCAATACATGAGTACCGATTTCCCCTCAATTACTGCTTTTCTCTTGAGGAGGTATACCATTACCTCGCTAAATTGCTTGGTTACAGGATCTGAATCCATCTCCATCTCCGCACGGCTGAGCTCTTCAACCTGGCATGAGGGAAAAAGATCTCTTTAACAGCTAAGCTCATTCTCCCCTCCCACATCTACTCATTTTCCTGATCCTCATCTGACCAAGAAGGTCTTTCCCAAGTGAGGAAAACAAAAACTCTTTGTGTGTAGAAACCTAGCTTAGCTTCATCCTTGACATGCTAGTTTTCTGTATCCAGTGAGTTTTCTTTTCAATACGGAGAGAAATCACTTATGCAATGCCTTTACCAGTTACCTGAAATTATACAGTTTAGCAGGAACTGTGCCACATAATTATAATAATCATGTATCACAGCTCTGAGACACACAATTTGTACCTTATGCCAGAAAGTGCTATTTTCTGTTAACATGAGCTCTTCTTCCAACGTGGTGTCCAGTGAGATAGGTTGCTCTTTGCCTTTCTCCTTGCAGTGTTCCCGGTACAGATGCTCAATAACCCTACAGTTAAGGGGAAAGTAGTTTTGCTTTCACTGAATTCAGCAAATTATTCTGTTTCTTGATCCCATTTGCAAAGCAATGCTAAACTTTGCCACAAGAATGTTACGTAACAAGGAGATTGGTGCACTGGGCCTGCTCACTTTAATGAAAGCAGTTTTTCATTGAAGGATGTTGAGCACTTCACACCTTTACTCATTTGCAAATATCAGACCTAAAAATAGCTTTCTTTTTTGCAATTGGCTATAGTTCAGCCATACAGAAGTGAGATGACATTCCTACATCCAGACAAGCAGGAGGCATTATTGCCATTCATGAACAAATTCCAGTCAGGCAAAACAACTGAAGGATGGAGTGGCTTGGAGAGAGTCCTGAGGGCGAGACAGAGGCCTGGAGTTTGGTCCCCCAGTCCTGAAGTTCCTACCCCTGCTTTACAAGGCCTAGCTCTTACATGTCATTCTCCAGGGCTAGGAAAAATTTCTTACATCTCACTGCAATTCACTGTGGGGCTGAAAGAAGGAGGAAAGGAGGATGAAGAGGTGGTGAAGAAAGAGCTGTGAGTGGTGGGGGGCCCTATCCCCATCTTTTGGTCCCCCTGGGAAACTCAACAAATCTGCTATACCCAGAACTGCGTGTGCTGAGTGCAGCTGAATGGGACACAGGTGTAGGTAGCCCAAGGAAGTACCATCTACCTTGGGCCTGCTCAAAAAAACAAATTTTGCATTACAGCTCCTAAGATCAAAGAGCATGTTTTCATCTATTTTGGGAGACAACTGGACGTCATTCTGAATCAAGATGGCAGACTGAACCTTTTGCACTGATTTTAGCCACAGATTTCTAAACTGAACTCTTCCCACCCCCTTTCTTTGAACTGGAAAGCATCACAGAACAATGAATGAAATGGAATGATGTGTGGACAATCCAGTATAAATCCACTACTACTGCGTAAATATACGTTGCAGAACACACCCTGAAAAATCCACCTGGACAGTCCCTGAAGGTACCAAAGTGAATAAATGATGCTCTCCCCTGCTGAGAGCACTTTCTCTGCTTGTCTTTGGAGGCAACTGCTTAGGTCGGAAGCAGATTAAAATCATCACACCTGCAGGGTACAACAAATGGGCTACGAAAGGAGGTGAATCTCCTGGGGAACCATGCATGCAACTGCATGTGCTCACCTTCATCCTTTTTTTAAAACTTGCCTCTCACAATTCTCCCCTCTTTTGGGTTCCAAGTATAGCTCTGGTGGCAGAGACCCAGTAGTGCTTTATTCACGAAGCATAAGCAACAATTCTCCCCTCTTTTGTCACCTTTGTGTCCTACCTCTTCCTTTGATGCCTTTCCACTGCAAACTCAGCAATTTTAAACTACACTGGTACCTCGGGTTAAGTACTTAATTCGTTCCGGAGGTCTGTTCTTAACCTGAAGCACAACTTTAGCTAATGTGGCCTCCTGCTGCCGCCACGCTGCCATAGCACGATTTCTGTTCTCATCCTGAAGCAAAGTTCTGAACCTGAAGCACTATTTTTGGGTTAGCTGGAGTCTGTAACCTGAAGCGTATGTAACCTGAGGTACCACTGTATAAGCTCCTTAGGGTAAGGACCTATCTTTTTTGTGTGACTGTATGATGCAATGCATACATTGATTAAAAGGTAAAGGTAAAGGTACCCCTGCCCGTATGGGCCAGTCTTGACAGACTCTAGGGTTGTGCGCCCATCTCACTCTAGAGGCCGGGGGCCAGCGCTGTCCGCAGACACTTCCGGGTCACGTGGCCAGCGTGACAAGCTGCATCTGGCGAGCCAGCGCAGCACACGGAAACGCCGTTTACCTTCCCGCTAGTAAGCGGTCCCTATTTATCTACTTGCACCCGGGGGTGCTTTCGAACTGCTAGGTTGGCAGGCGCTGGGACCGAGCAACAGGAGCACACCCCGCCGCGGGGATTCGAACCGCCGACCTTTCGATCGGCAAGCCCTAGGCGCTGAGGCTTTTACCCACAGCGCCACCCGCGTCCCAAGCATTGATTACACTGCATCAAATAATATCATGACTAGCAACAATTATAGACCATGGCAGCTTTGTTGCTCTCTTCACCCCAGAATGCACTTCTTACCTGAAGGGGCATGTAGGCAAGTCAGCATCTGAAGTCCCCTCTGGCAGGTTGTCACTCCTCCCTGGCACCAGGTAACCCCAGCCGTATTTCTCAGAGTAGTGCAATGGAAAGCCATCCCAGGTGAGCCTCATGAGCTTTGGGGTCACTCTCATCTGAAGGCTGATAAGGCTGGGTCCAGGCACCCAGCTGGGATCATCCAGTCTCTGGCACAGCTTACGATACCACCTATGCAAGGGGAGAGCAGACCACAAAGTCAACAAAAAGCTTTCCTCAATAATAATAATTCTTATTGGTTGTTCAGATTAAATTTTATACCAAATTGCTCAAAGGCCTTCACCAAGGAGCTGTATGGAAATCCATTAAATAATAATTACATCTCCTGTCAGAGTTGATTTTACACAGTTTAACAAAAGCTACCTCCTCTGTCACTGATGCTTCCAGGTGGCCTGCTCCTTTTTTAAAGTAGAGAGCTTTTCCAATCGAGCTGCTAATGGGAGACTCTGGTTGCTGACTCTCTTCTCAATACATTATAATCTGAATGGCACTGACTCAGCTACTAGGGGAGTTTGAATACAAAGAAGCACGCCTCATTGCAGGAAATTAATTATAGGGGGGCTTCCATTTTACAATGCTATGCTTCGTTAGCAGTAGTAGTAAACTATTTCAGGCTGAGGGCTGCACTGGCTTATGGCCAACCCTTGGGGGGAGGGGTTAAGTGTGAAACTGGGTGTGGCCAGTGTAAGAAGTGGGTGTGGCTAGAGCTGCCATTCAAAAGGCTGCCTTCTGAGAGACTTTCCCACCAGCCATTCTACACTATTGAAAATAATTATTCATCATTCATTATTAAATTTAATCATTTTTAAAAGAGGCTGAATTTGGGGAGACTTGGGGATCATAAAATACTTTTGTGAGGGTTGGATATGGGTTGTAAGTTAGCCACCTGTAATCTTCACTATACTACATAGGCCTGTGACCTTGCCAACGGAATTCTGTATGTTCACAGCAAACAGAATAATTTAGACAAATAAGTGGTTGTTTGACCAATCGTCTTGCAAATCAAACGGTTCTAACTTTTAGACAAAAAACATCCACTCAGCATGACAGGAATGTTAACAATTTATTTTACCCTTGTTTAAATGCCAACTGTAAAGTAGGTCTACTTCTCAGGAACATGGGTAAATCTATGTCTAAGCTGCCCACTTTTGATAACAGGTGGAGGCTCTCGTGGGCAAATGCTCTATATAAAAAAAATCCATGCACATTGAAAACTAATATATTAGAAGACTAAACTGGAATCCTTCTTCCTGACAAAGAGATGAACAAAAGGTCCTAGGAGGGTCACCGTCTACAACTTCCCTTTAGTAACGCACCCTGGATGGCCAGGCAGGTGCTGAATTCTCTTTGGCTGCAAAGCTACAGTCTCCTTCAGACGGTCCAAGCACAATCGGCTCTCAGGGAGCTGCTGTTCTTCCTCTTCAGTTGGGGGTCCTGGATCTGTTTCCATGATACAACAAATCAGAAAGGAATTATTTTTCAATGAGTACAGTTGTTGACAAGGCTGTTTTCTAACTACATACATATTACGTCAAAGGGCTTAAGAATCTACGTGGACACAGTTATTTGGTGGCCTGCAAAGCCTATAACCCAATGCAGAATTTGACAGCTAGCAAATTTCTAAAACTCTTAATGGCCAAGAGGAATTCAAATACATGAGTGTTTAATTGCACAGGAGCCTAGGGAAGAGTAGAGATGTAACTTTAATGGTCAGGAGAGAAATGTTTTCTTGCTGAAATGTGTCAGCTCCGTAACACTCCATAGTTCTTATGTTCCTCCACTGCCTCTATACTGCACTCCAAACACCTGTGTATTCCATATTTATCCTCCAAGACTGTAATTAAGAAATAAATAAAAATGCAACATTACAGACACCCTTTTTAAAACAGCACCTCTGGGATGTCAGGACTTTTTAAGATTCTCTGGTAATACTATCGTACTTTGAAATCACTTGAGAGCTGGATGCAAAACATTCTGCCTGCAATACACACATGCTGAGGTACGTATTTCAGGCTCGTAAATAAGATTTTAAAAGATGCTTGCTCCTACCCAATTGCAAAGACAGCTTAGCGGAAGGGATCTGGATCAAGGGTAGATTACATGCTTTGGATCCAAGAGGTAACAGGTTCAATCCCTGGCGTCACCAGGTGCGGCTGGAAAGAACCCAGGAGAGCTATTGCCAATCCGTACAGACAATGCTAAACCAGACAGACAAAAGATCTCATTCCATCTAAGGTATATTCTTTCTCTCTCTTTCTGATTAAGATTTAGGAGAGAAAGATTACAACTGCCAGTAGACAGTGGGGATAGCTGTGATTTGCTGTGTGCTAGCAAGCTAGTAGTCAATGATGATGATGCTCTTACCTTCCTGCCACTCCAGCATGGAGGCTTTTTCCACGGCTCTGGGCAGTTCATCATTACCATCTTCATTCTTCTTCTTCCCAATTTTCTTCTTCTTTTGCTTAAATTCCTGGAGATCCCACTCTAGATCCCACAGCCAGGGATCACATTTGTACCTGTTTTGATACATCAGACCAAATACCACAGGTTAATTTGAAGAATACTTTTTTCAATTTCCATCAATGAGATCTTGGTCTACAAGCTCCTGTTTATTTACAGCAAGGGAGAGGAGCTGAAAGGGTACTTTTCTCCACCATGTCATAGCAACAACTTCTCAGTTTATCTAGATGCACCCACTGCTGAAACTGTGCCAAACAAATTCCTTTACTAAGTAGTAGTCTGCTTAATGAAACAGTATTGCATTTCACAAAACCCACAGTCTCAATTCTATCTCAACCTTGCAGTCTTCCTTTTGGGGGAATCCCCCAAGCATACTACAGATTTTAATGCCGGAACTAAATGTCAGCTGAAACTGCAGTCTGAGAACCCAGTTCTCCAACTGCAAAGATGAGGGGGAGATGTGTCAGATGTGTGTGCATCCTTAACTCTTCCATATTTCCCCTTTTCACCTTCTGTCCTGGTCTACCTCCTCAGCTGAGTTTCCCTGAGATGTAGTAAGCATGCAATTGGGACCCCAACCAGAGGGAGGGTTGAGTGCTGCATCCTCCTCCCAGCTCCGTTTCTGCTTCATAGTGTTCTCTCCTGCCACTGCTTAATGGAGAGCCAGGTCTTCACCAATTATGAATCTCTGGCTTAAGCAGCAGTGCACTGTAACAGTGATTATGGTAATACCCCCACCTTTCCTCATGAAGCAGCTGGCAGGCATTGTCAGCTAGGTTCATCAAGGATTTCTTCATCTCCTTTTGCAGCTCCTCATAAGTGACCTGAGCTTCATCCAGGTACCTCTCCCAGTTCTGATTGACAGGAAGGTAGGAGACTCCCATTTCCAGCATTCCTGCAAACGTGACGGGATGGGGACACCTAACCAAGAAACAGAAAAGGCGGTAATAACAGAATGGAGCCAGAATGTTGGAAGCAACTGGACTAAGCTATGTAAACTAGGCATTTGTTGACCTTAGAACACAATGGAAGCAGATCCTAGGAGCCTGTCACACTATGCCTGACCAACGGACAGAACCAAGGATGGATCCATGTAGATGAAAGGCTGAGGCCACATTGATAGGAACAAGGCCCAATAGCTGAGAGCACTGATCTGGGTAACAGATGGACCCCTTCACTCTCTCTCATATGTGCACAGATGTCATTAATTCCAATAAAGCAAATTAAGTTCTGGAATTGGGGCACTCTTGTTTTTTATAGCAAAGTCAAAAATGTACTCTTTACTCCTGCATTGGGCAGTCCGCAAGGATTGCCCACAAGCGGCTATTCCTCCCACCTGGTGGAATGAGATTCCACAAGAGACAAGACATTTTGTGCCTACTCCCACCCCCCAGGTTTTTGCATTGTACAAGCTTTCCCCTCACATTCTCCCTGTGTGTCACAACAGACGTTTTATTTAATATGATAATCTAGTACATTGTTTGATGTAACTCCCAGAATTATTTGATTCAGTTTTCCAACGTGCATTGTAAATTCTGGTTAACTATTATCTGTTTCCTTCACTGAAAAATTTTGTATATGCACTTGCACCACTTCTGAAGGATTAAGATGTTTGTCCCTAAGATGCTTCTGACACACAATGTTACTACAGTACTACAGTACTACAGTGTTACTATTGGCTAACCCAGAGAAGCTATCTCATAAATGGACACACCATCATAAAGAATTCCACATTTCAACCCCCCCCCCAATACTCACCTTTCCAAGAAGAGAGGAAGCTGCTCCTGGAATACTTCATAAGTAGCCTGAACATCAAGGGCACAGTATCTCATCAGGTCCTTGGAAGGGAGACAGAGAGAACAGTGGGAATGGGAGAATAAATTATGTACACCTGTTTCAAAAGCCACATTCTACTAAGTCACACCATCGGTCAGTCTATTCTAGTATTCTCCTTTGACTGGCAAAAGTGCTCCAGATTGAAATCATACATCTTTCCCAGGTATACCAAGACCCTTTCCTTCACACTAGAGATGCCAGACTTCAAACATGGAACATTCTACATGCAAAGAATATGCTCTACAACTGAGCAGTGGTCCCTTGATCCCTCCCCTTAAAAAGTACCATCCTATAGATTATCTCCCTACCTGGAAGTTATTCCTGATGTCATTCATGCTCCCTTTGACAAAGAGCTCCCGGGCTTCTTTCTCCAGTGGCTGGCCTCCAACATATAAGGCATGCACATCTACTAGATTGTTGATGCTACTAATGTTCACCCAGTCCCAGGATGCAATCTGCAAGGTAGTAAGGCAGCAGAGCAATGGCTAACTAGTCCACAAACCCCAAAAATGCCCACTTTTGGATGGAAAGCATTTAAAACATTTAATAAACCATCAGATTGAGTCCTCAATCTATAGGAATAAGACTTCCATTATGATTAGTTCTAACCCTCAGAATGACACAGAACAGTCCAGGATCTCTACAAGAATGGCAAGTCCTGGGAGACCTTGTCTACACATGTGAATGAGGCGGCAGAAAGTTGAGATGGAATCTTGAACTGCATTACTGCAGACAAATAATTCCAGTTTTGAATGTTCCTCTACTGTACGTAAGAAAAAATCCTTCCTGCCAAGAGAAAAATAGCACAGTAGGGAGAAAGGTTCTATCCTAGTCCTTTGTCAACCAAGTTTGTTTTCTATGTATGTATTTTAAAAAAATATATAAAAGGTAAAGGTACCCCTGCCTGTACGGGCCAGTCTTGACAGACTCTGGGGTTGTGCGCCCATCTCACTTAAGAGGCCGGGGCCAGCGCTGTCTAACAGGATTCCAACGCTTTCCGGGTCACGTGGCCAGCTTGACAAAGCTGCATCTGGCGAGCCAGCGCAGCACACGGAAACGCCATTTACCTTCCCGCCAGTAAGCGGTCCCTATTTATCTACTTGCACCTGAGGGTGCTTTCGAACTGCTAGGTTGGCAGGCGCTGGGACCGAGCAGCGGGAGTGCACCCCGCCGCGGGGATTCGAACCGCCGACCTTTCGATCGGCAAACCCTAGGCGCTGAGGCTTTTACCCACAGCGCCACCCACGTGGCGGGTGACTAAAAATATATAGGTGACTATTTAAAATATGATCATTCTGTCTAAAGTAAAGCCATCTATTATACCATCTCAACCCTCCACCACCTCATTCTGGTGTATCTGTAGATCAGACTTACTGTAGCATCCATACAGAAATATAGCTATAGTTTGGCAGGCCTTTATTGGAGGATTGCCTATGAAAACAATGACAATGCAAGAGGTAACAGAAGTCCATATTACTTAACAAAAACTTTTCGCACATCTAGGATGTTGCCAATCTCCTCCATGCTGGGTCTGCACTTCTCCCCTCTACTACCAATTCAGAATGCTTTTGCCAAAAAAAATCTCTCCCAACTGTCTATGGTGACAGTAGAAGACAGAGGTCAGTCTTCTACTAAAAACCCCCAAGGTAGTAGAACTACATTTTGCAACTTTAGTAAGAGACAAAATTGTATACATTAAGACATGCAAATTATGAGGAAGGGAGGCCAATTAGTTATTCTGGAAGAGAGAAATAAAGTGTTCAGTTCCAGCTAATGTAACCTCAGGTATAAAAATGACATCTCTATCTACCTCTTTCTCCACTCCTCTCACAGGACAGAGTATTAAAAACCAGTTATTCAAGTGTGATGTATGTATGAAATACAGAAATACAGATAGCACTTTAGTTCTGCAAAGTGCTTTTCAACCATCATTACATTCTCACAACAATCCAACAAGGCCAGACATTCTCAATCCCATGTTATATATAAGTATGACTTGATCAAGGTTGCTGAATGTAGAGCCAGAAAGGACTGGCACTCAAAAAAAAAAAAATAGTTTAAAAAAACTAAAAATGGGTTTGAAAGGAGTTTTACTTCTCAATGTGTACATAGATCAAGATTCATTCTGTAGTAAATCTTCTTAGGATTGTAACATTTATTTTTTTCCAAAAAATGAAATTGAGATGGGTGTTAAAATGAGTTCAATGCTGCGCTGTTCTTTCTGAAATTACTAAATTTTCAGATCTAGAAAGAAATGAAGGTGGGTTCAGGTGTTCTATCGTGCCCTGGAAAGAGTGCTTTAGTTCACACAGCTGGGTGTGTTTGCTCCCCAGGTACTCATGGTGTAGCAAGCGACTGTTAGAGGAACGGTACACCTGGTCCAGCCAGTTGACTCTGTCAGATCTCATCCCTCTGGAAACGAGCAGCAGCCTTACCAAGCAGGATTGGCAAGAGAGGCTGGTGGTGGGTCACAATGTCTCTTTTGACCGTGCGCACATCAAAGAACAGTACCTGATTCAGGTAAGTCATCTTTGTCTTCCAATCTGTTCTGCTTACTTTCTTCTTGTATGCAAGCTGTTATTGGTAGCTGAAGGCTAGTTGTTTGTGGTAACATGTGTCAATTCAGTTGTTATCATAGCCACGAGCCATAACTGTTAGGAAATTGCACAACAAACAAGATACAAATAAAGACTTGTAGAAATGAAGCTTAGCAGATCAAATATTAGATCTGTATTGAAGCAAAATTTTCCCCGCAGCGGTTAGCTAGGTTTTTTTTATTTTATTACAAAGTCCTTGTGAATCTTTGATGCTGCAGTTGCAAACAAAGCAGCTGTCCTTGTTGGTTGTTTGTCCAATGGTAGAGCTATGTGTTCTTCTATTTCCTTGTATCTTTAAAACCCAGCCATTGCTTCTCTGCAAACTGGTGTCAGGAGGGTACTATTTGCAAGGGAAAATCCATACATGAGGAGGAGGGGTGATTAATGCTTCATTCACCTGCCGCTTTTCTTTCCAGCAAGGTTTCAAGCTCCTCTTTGGATTAGATGTATGAGTCTGGAATCCTAGCTGGAGAAAAAGTAGTTATGGGAAGGAACTGCAGGTGGAAAGAGGCAGAAGAGGAAAGGGTTAAGCACCACCCTTCCCTCCTGCTCCCCACTGAGTTTGAATCTTGGCATCACACCCTGCCTGTGATCCCTTCCTGAGGTATCTGTATGGCTTCTGTTGGTAAGACATTAAGACATGATGCTGAACTTGACCCACAGTTGATCTGCTCCTGAACATACACATAGCAAGTTCTATGTAATACTCTTTTATCCTCCAGGCCAGGCTGCCTTGTTGTTGCTTACTGGATTTCCTACCTGCACTTCACCATGAGGTCCCAAGGCAGGCTATAACAATATAAAAATATAACTTTAAAACTAGTTAAAATAATTTACAATAGGAGAAAGAGAGTTGGCCCTCATAGCATATATCCTAGATGTCGTAAGGTAAAGGTAAAGGTACCCCTGCCCGTACGGGCCAGTCTTGACAGACTCTAGGGTTGTGCGCTCATCTCACTCTATAGGCCGGGAGCCAGCGCTGTCCGCAGACACTTCAGGGTCACGTGGCCAGCGTGACAAGCTGCATCTGGCGAGCCAGCGCAGCACACGGAAACGCCGTTTACCTTCCCACTAGTAAGCGGTCCCTATTTATCTACTTGCACCCGAGGGTGCTTTCAAACTGCTAGGTTGGCAGGCGCTGGGACCGAGCAACGGGAGCGCACCCCGCCGCGGGAATTTGAACCGCTGACCTGACGATCGGCAAGCCCTAGGCGCTGAGGTTTTACCCACAGCGCCACCCGCGTCCCTGTAGATGTCGTAGGCTAGGGTATAAAGAGGTGTCTTTAGCATGTAACAAGAGCTATACCATGTTATTTTTTGGTTTGCCATGTATGGCTCTTGCAGTGTTTGTGACATTAAAACAAATATTTCAGGGCTCCCAGATGCGTTTCCTGGACACCATGAGTATGCACATGGCCATCTCCGGGCTAACAGGATTCCAACGCAGCCTTTGGATGGCAGCAAAACATGGCAAGCGAAGAGGGCAGCAGCAGGTGCAGCAGCATATCAAGAAAACACGGAGTAAAACTGATGGCCCTGAGGTGAGTTGGAAAGGCACAGAGGAATTGCATGCGAATCCCTCCTTTTCTTCACAAGGCCGCCCCAACAGCAGCTCTAGATAAGATTGTAATGTACTCCACTGGAGATGTCCCTCCCCCCCCCCCAAAAAAAAAAAAAAGAGCAGAAGGCAGTTTGGAAGAAGGACTACTGCTTGTGGTCTAGATGCTAGCTCCTCTTTGGTCCCCGGTAAACAGATTTTAAGGATTTTATATTGTTTCACAAACTAACAAATCCCATTTGTCTGGAGGTGACAGTGAAACAAAGATAATTGTGTATGTACACATTGAGAAGTAAAACTCCTTTCAAACCCATTTTTAGTTTTTTTAAAACTATTTTTTTTTTTTTGAGTGCCAGTCCTTTCTGGCTCTACATTCAGCAACCTTGATCAAGTCATACTTATATATAACATGGGATTGAGAATGTCTGGCCTTGTTGGATTGTTGTGAGAATGTAATGATGGTTGAAAAGCACTTTGCAGAACTAAAGTGCTATCTGTATTTCTGTATTTCATACATACATCACACTTGAATAACTGGTTTTTAATACTCTGTCCTGTGAGAGGAGTGGAGAAAGAGGTAGATAGAGATGTCATTTTTATACCTGAGGTTACATTAGCTGGGACTGAACACTTTATTTCTCTCTTCCAGAATAACTAATTGGCCTCCCTTCCTCATAATTGCATGTCTTAATGTATACAATTTTGTCTCTTACTAAAGTTGCAAAATGTAGTTCTACTACCTTGGGGTTTTTAGTAGAAGACTGACCTCTGTCTTCTACTGTCACCATAGACAGTTGGGAGAGATTTTTTTTTGGCAAAAGCATTCTGAATTGGTAGTAGAGGGGAGAAGTGCAGACCCAGCATGGAGGAGATTGGCAACATCCTAGATGTGCGAAAAGTTTTGTTAAGTAATATGGACTTCTGTTACCTCTTGCATTGTCATTGTTTCATAGGCAATCCTCCAATAAAGGCCTGCCAAACTATAGCTATATTTCTGTATGGATGCTACAGTAAGTCTGATCTACAGATACACCAGAATGAGGTGGTGGAGGGTTGAGATGGTATAATAGATGGCTTTACTTTAGACAGAATGATCATATTTTTAAATAGTCACCTATATATTTTTAGTCACCCGCCACGCGGGTGGCGCTGTGGGTAAAAGCCTCAGCGCCTAGGGTTTGCCGATCGAAAGGTCGGCGGTTCGAATCCCCGCGGCGGGGTGCGCTCCCGCTGCTCGGTCCCAGCGCCTGCCAACCCAGCAGTTCGAAAGCACCCCCAGATGCAAGTAGATAAATAGGGACCGCTTACTGGCGGGAAGGTAAATGGCGTTTCCGTGTGCTGCGCTGGCTCGCCAGATGCAGCTTTGTCAAGCTGGCCACGTGACCCGGAAGCGTTGGAATCCTGTTAGACAGCGCTGGCCCCGGCCTCTTAAGTGAGATGGGCGCACAACCCCAGAGTCTGTCAAGACTGGCCCGTACAGGCAGGGGTACCTTTACCTTTTTATATATTTTTTTAAAATACATACATAGAAAACAAACTTGGTTGACAAAGGACTAGGATAGAACCTTTCTCCCTACTGTGCTATTTTTCTCTTGGCAGGAAGGATTTTTTCTTACGTACAGTAGAGGAAC